GTTTTTGTAAGTATATTCTGCCTTCTTTATCTTTTTTTTTTTTTTTTTTTTATCATGAAGGTTTTTTATTGCGCGAGAATTAGAAAAGTCCTAAGAGACATATCATTCGCCCTGAAGTAGGCAAACTGCCAACATTCGGAGACTGATTCGCACAAAGAGGCGCGGGTGTTTTGGATGCTGTCAAGAGCTATCTTTTTGGCATCTGCAGTTAAAACAGAGGCCAAAATTGAAATAGTTTGGGTCAAACTAAAAGTTTTGCAGAGGAAGTTTGTTATTGCCGTGTGTTACCGTCCACCTAAGTTTGATTGTTCCTTTGTACCAAAACTAAACGTGACTCTTCTCAGGGTCTTTTCGGATTACCCTGGCGCAACTGTTGATCTCGCCGGGGATGTTAGTTTTCCAGTAATTGGTTAGGTTTCTTCAGTTTTGTCCCGTCATAAAACAGAGTGTCGTGTTTATAAATTCAATGAGAAGTTTTGTATTCCACCAAATTGTCAAAGTACCTATGATGGGTGACTCAACTCTATGTCTATTTTTACTACCCACCCTTGTCGAGTGGGTTGTAATTGACTTGGCACAATGTGTTCTTTTAATGACCACGATATTTTAAATATCAAGCCCTCTGCTGACGTCCTCGCTTCAAAAACTTCAAGAAAAATAATTCGGAACGTTTCCAGAGCCGACGCCGTCAGTATCAACGCTAATTTTAGAATCATTTCAGTGCCTCGAGCGTTCGTTTTATACACGTTCAGTGGATAGCAACTCGTGTACTCTTAAGAAAATGATCTTTGGCCTTCTTGATCAATGCATCCCTAAACGTCAAATTATTTTTAATTATTTACATCCTTCTTTTATTATCAATATAAAAAGAATGCTAAGAAGAAAAAGAAGGCTTTTTCAGTCCGCTAATAATGACACTGGCGATTCTCTTAGGTCTCGTTTTCGGAATTGAGCTGAAATTAGTAAACGTCAAATAAGTTCAAATGAAATCTACTTGAAAACGATCTTTAGAATATTCTAATCACAAATCAAAAAACAAAAATTGAAAAGTGATTAACCCTTCTACAAAGAAAGCATGCCCGCTTATTCTGGACTCGAATGAAACACAACTTCGTGGCAATGAAGTGTGGGATAAATTTAATGAATATCTCAGCAGTGTCTTCACTCGAAGAGCTTTTCCCACAAAACAACATGTATTAAGTAAAATGGAGGCTTTTGCCATTTCACCGGAAGGAATTTTGCATTTAATAGAGAATCTTTCAATCAGCTCATCTCCTGGCTGTGACGGCATTCACAAAAAAGAGGGGCCCCAATACACGCTGTGAAGGCGGTTGGTGAGCGAAGCTGTGGTATCATCTGCAATGACTGCATACTGCACTACTATACGAAATGCCGCCACCGGTCGCAGCACGCCGCCGCTGGTCGTATTGCCGTTTCTTTTCCCTTTGCCGCTCCTAGTGTTCACGCTGCTCCTCGGGAGTCCTAATTATGCGTAGCCTATTCATCGCGGTGCTGCAACAACAATGAAATCGGTTGATATACTTCGTTTCATCTGGCGTTTAAGCGCAGCGGATGTTACGAGCCATCGGAGCCAATCGGAGGCCGTGTGAGTTTCACGTGACCTAAGAGAGGGAGCACAGCGACGGGCGATGAGCGTGTCACAGGCCACGCCCACAGAACGGAATTGCCTGAAATAGCTCGTAGCATCTCCTGCGTCCGGACGTAAAGTGAAACGGGGCATAGGTGGGTTCTTCTTTTATATATGAAAGGCAAGTGACGTCACTCCCCACGCCGAAAGCTGCCGTCGCCGCGGCAGCAGGCGCCGTTCTCATCCATTATGCGGTTCGCACTTCACACGAGGGCTTCGAATGACGTCAACCCCTTTCGAAGCAGCTGCAAACCTAATCTTTACCGGAACGCGTGGGAGGGTTTTTCTATTGGTCACACGCGCCTTACCACGCATCATGCGGTTTTGATGCTTGTTTTGCGGTTTTCTTTATTGAAACGGATACTGAGCTGTATGCTGGAAGCCGGGTTTTAAAGGAGATATGCTGTTTCGCCTTCAATTGTACGCCGGGAGCTTTTTGCTTACAACGACGACACGAAAATTTCCTTGGCTGCTGGAAGTGTACAGCTTCGCTGTAAAAAATCCTAAAGACGACCAAACAGACATCATCTTTGTATTTGAGTGCAATTTTTAATCATTCTCTCATCACGAGTAACAATCCCACTGACTGGAAACATGCTGACGTAATTCCTATCCTCAAGTGCGAATCTTCTGACGGACCTAACAATTATAGTCCTATTCATTTAACAAGTGTGTGTTGCAAACTCCTCGAGAATATTAGTTTTGCAAACGTTCTGCAATGTTTAAATTCAATCTGTGCTTTTTTTTTTTTTTTTTTTGTCAGCAGGAATTTTGAGAAAGAAACAATCTTGTACAACACCAGTGTTTAGCAGGTTACTGATATTCATAATAACCTCAATGCATTTACATAGAAAGAAGCTCTGTTTATCGACTTGTCAATACGCCTCGCAAGTGGGCTCATTTTCGTCTTCTGCGCATAAGAAAGGAAGTAGTGGTGACGTCAGAACGCCGAACTCTGATTGGCTGATCGCGGCCCCCTATCTCAGCGTCGTCTGCTCCTTTGCAACGTCGTCTGCTCTCAACGTCGTCTGCGTCTGTCTTACCTTTCCTGCGACTTTCGGAGCGAACTCGACCTCGCCTTTAAGAGAGGGCAAACGAAATAGCTCGAGCGGTACGTTGTTTTTGTCTAACAACTAGCGGACGCGCATCAAGGAGGGAAGTCAAAGGACTCCCTGGCGAGGTGTCCCGGGGCGCCGAGGTTTTTTTGCTTAGAACCGAGGCAAGTTCCCTCCCAAATACTTTTTCCCTCCATTCGTGTGCGGTGAGACCCCTCACTCTTTAACGGCGTCGGCGGGTTGGCGCAGTTAACGTCGTCTGCTTTACGTCTGCTAGTCAAAGCGATGGCTGCTTTACCTTTGCTGCGTCTGTCGGAGATTCACCGCTTTTTCATCGGCGAGAGTCACCGTTGCCTCGGGAAACAAGGAGATAACAAGAGGAAGAAATTGACCCCTTAATCTAAAATTGAGGTCAGCAATCAAAATTATATACGGAAAGGGTTCACAAGGGTCGCGCGGGCATATTCCACTCAGCACGCCAGCCGGTCGTGGGCAGACGGTCGCCGAGTCGCGGAGAGCCTGCTAGGCCTAACTGCCCAGCTCGTTTGGTCGCGTTCGGTAAGATCGTGGCCGTGGGAGCTTTTCCCGGGTGTTTGTGGATCCAGCGTTCTTGTTCGTCGTGGTCTGTTTCAAGTACTTTCTTCTTTTTTCTTGCTGCTTGAAGTCGGGGCGCGTCAGAACCGCACGTAAAAAAATAAACGTCCGTGGGTCGTCGCGACCGCGACGTTGTCGGCCATGCTGATTTGATCGTAAGAAGTGCGTAGGACAGCTTCGGAGCTGTCGTAGGATTTTGTCGTAACCTGCGCAAAACTTACGAAAATTTCGTTTCGTGAATACGAATTTGTTCTTAAGTTTTGTCTTACGCACATTTTTGGCGTAAGATCGTTTCGTGAATCTGGCCTCTTCACTTCCGAAAGTCGCAGGAAAGGTAAGACAGACGCAGACGATGTTGCGAGCAGACGACGTTGCAAAGGAGCAGACGACGCTCAGATAGGGGGGCGCGATCAGCCAATCAGGGCTCGGCGTTCTGACGTCACCGCTACCCCCTGCGCGAGAAGCAGACGAACTTGCCCTCCGCATAGCTTTTGAACGGGTACCGCATTGCAGACTTATCCCAAAACTAAACCACTTAAAAATTAATTCGGTACTAATTAATAGGTTGAGCAACTTTCTTACCACAAGAGCCCATTCTCTCAGATTGGGTGAAGTCACTTCTTATTCTTTACAAATTGTTTCAAGAGTACCCCCCTCCCCTTCCCCGGAACGGTACTGGGCCCATTGCTTTTTAGTATTTACATTACTGATATTGGTTGCCAACAAGCTGTGTTCTTTTTTTTTTTTTTGCGCCGACAATGTTGTTCTTATCGCTCTACTACCAGTCAAACCAACGACAAGGCATTGCAAGGCAACTTATGTTTGATTGGGAAGTGGTTTGCTGAGTGGCTCATGCTTATTAATCACTTTAAATCTGAATATGTATTGTTTTCTAAATTACGTAATCCAATAACTTATAATTATCAACTCGCTCTTCATCCTCTAGAAAAATTACTTTCTTTTTAATACCTTCACGTTCATTTAGGTTTCAACTTGTCATAGAATATTTATATTGAGCATATGGCTTCAAGCGCAAATAAAACCTTAGGGTTCCTAAGACGCCATCTTTATAGAACTTCACCAAAACTTAAACACTGCACCTTCGTCAGGTCCAAACTGAATACTGCTCTACCATCTGGAACCCTCATCAAACATATCTCTCCAACATGTTAGAATCTATTCAAAACAACGCGACTCGCTTCATTTTGCACGATTATTCAACCTCAAGCGTTTGAATACTAAAAAAACTCAAAAGACAGACTTTATTTTCTTTTTATGACAAGTTTTACAAATCTTGGACTAATCGCCAATTCTTCTCAGCAGCTAATCCTATTTCCCTTCGTCGTGAATTGAATTGCCGTTTGCCAGAACTAACACTTTTAAAAATTCACCCCTCATTTTGTGTTTAAATGATTGGAATGTATTACCGGAATCTCATGTAACAATAATTGGTTATTCCTTGTGTTCAACAAATTCACTCGAATTCACCCTAGAATGTTGCAAATAATCATTGAAGGCCAACGACGCTTGATAAGTTGTCATCTACCTGTGTAATTAACTTATATGTGTCAGATGTATTTATATACTACCCCCTCTAATATAATGCCCCACTGGAGCCATTACCTCCCCTCCCCCTAAAAAAAAATAAAAAGCACTAGCCACTTGTTACTTATTTTCTATAAAACCATCATTTACACTTCACCTCATTAGCACGATGGACTTTATTTCCAAACAACACGTCCAGTGGTTATATCAACAAAGAATAGCACTACTAAGCTTAAAATCCATCACAACATTCAAATGGCTATTTGGGCCAGTTGGCTCATGTTCACGTAAAAAAGTACCACAAAATACAGAACAACAAGAAAGTGAATGATCCAGGGTGCACAACGATAGAGGGCTTAAAACGATCACCTTGCGAAATACTACCGTGCTTTGATTGATTCTCTCTCCAGCACCAAACTTTTGGGGAGATGAAAATCGAAATGGCTCTATAGACCTCGGTGCTTTTCTACTTCATTTCACCGGTGCGTCCGCTTTGTGGACAAAAAGACTATATACATATTATTTTGTCTCGTTAAATCAGATCTCTCAAGAGCTTAGATCTTGAGGGGTCTGGTTGGCTTTTCCATGAAGTTTGGGTAAAAGAGGGAACCCCTTCGTCACTGAAAGTTTCGCATCCTGCGAATTGTTGTTGACTAGCTCCTCAGACAAGGCTGGACTGATATCACTGCCTTCAACGAGGTTTCCAAAGTAATTTTTGTTCTCAAGGACCGGCTTGTCTTCGGGTTCTTTAGTTTGGACCCAAACGCCGGCGTATTTGGTCTTCGTTTCTGGATCGTTCTCTGCAGTCGTCAAGCGCGCCTGGTTCGTCTCATTCCGCTTTCTCTCGATGTATTCCTTGATGAAGTTTGCAGGCGGGAAGATCTGCCACTCCTTGGGGGCCGATGTGTCAGGCTCGTACTTTTCACACTTTGGAGTCAGTATCGGGACGTAGAACCTGAAACCATATTTTTATTGCTTTGGAGTCATTAAAGTAAGAGAGACGAAGCGGCGTCATGCAATACTATGCACCGAAAAAATGAGAGAGGAGGATATGAGATCGCATGGCCGACGTGAGGACATCGAGCTCTGACTAAAATGATTAGCGGGTAGAAGTAAACCTCGATGTCCTTGTCTATGCTCAATCTTCGAACGTGTTCGAAAACCAAAGCGGAACGATGGACGCCGGCGTTTGGCAATGCGTTCCAAGTGGGGCTAGAAACAGAGGCACCAAGCTTTGCGTCTACCCTCTAAGCATTCCAACCAGGGCTCGGCGTTCCTAGCGCGCCCTCGTCCCCTCCTCTCCATCAGTTTATCATCCATTACCATACTCTTTTTTTCATACTCAGCATACAACGATGTTTTAGCTACTGGCGCGAGCGCATGGTTTCACCTAGGGCCTAAACCTGCGTTAAAGGCCGTCACATTGAATGCTAAAACAAGATATAGGCTCGTGGCAGTAGCTTTGACAACGTTGTATGAGTATCAAGGGATGTACATACAACTTTTAGCGAAAATGGATTCTGGCAGCTTCCACTTTTTACGGCACCTGCTTCCCTCGCGTTATAAAAGGGCAAACACTCGATGCTGGAGTCTTTTGTGAACAATTTTCTAAACAGTGGAAGGACCTTATACATACAGTGCATTAAACATGCCTCCGAATGGTTCTGAAAATATTAGAGTCCTGTACCGCAAATGCATCGGAGGAGCTCTGAACTGGCAACAAAACTAGTCGTAGGAGCAGCCGACTAATTTATAAATGATGCCATAATATCTGTGGCTTGTTCCTGACGCGCTGGCGGAGAACTCACGAGATAGCGAGTGTGTCTCTGGTTATGGCGTTCACCGAGTCGCCACTCTGTGCAATCGAAACTATGGCTGGTTGTGTTTTGGTCTAATGCTGTATTTTTGTTTTTTAGTTAGCTCTGTTGCCGAGCCAATATATTGCAACAATCTGCAGAATCACAGCCATGAGAATAGGAGTCAAAATTGAAAGGACAAAATAAGAAGGGGTAAAGTTCCCACTCAGAGATGCGTTCCAGGCACCATGTCAGTGCTACTGAGATAGAAGCCGTGACCTGCACATGGCGCAAACATTAATGAATCCGACATCCACCCCGGAGTGCAAACAGCCTGGCGTTTGACGAGATTACATGACGAAATGGTAGACATGTGTTCAAAAAAGGATAAGCCCGCAGGCGAGCTGGTGAAAAGTTTACTCAACTTTACCCAAAACAGAGAAGAAAACAGAAGTCAAAAGAAGTAAAAGACAAAGAAAGGAGAGGCACTTAATAATGTGTCCTTCCTTTTTCTTTCCTTTCCTCGAATTAAATTATGCCGACATCTTGGAGTTTCCGTCCACCAGCGTTCAGATCGTTGTAAAACGTTGCCAAACGTGTACGCATAGCCTCCTGTATAATGACAAAGCCTGTCAAATCGCCACGAGAAGCGGCCGCCGAAATGGCAACGGTAGAGCGGCAGGCAACAGGTGAGATGACAGCTACGTGACTGGCGCCCCGCTGCGGCGAGACGCCTAAATACACTCCCGAGTGAACAAGTGTGTTTCGGGTCCTCGCCGCTTCAAAATCTGTGCGCTGATGTCCATGTTCCACGAGAAATTAATCGTTAATGCTCTGTGCTACCAGCTCCTCGCGCTCAAAATTTGCGACCGGGCGCTCTATGGCTCCGTCGTCGAACTTCCAGTCTTTGTGAGTGTAGAAGAGCCTATGGTGTATGGAACGACCTTGCGTCGTTGTAGACGGAGGTTTGACACCCCCGCATTGTTAAGTACGGAAAGACGCAAGAGTTAACCTATACTTTGTCTCACCTTAGTATGGACTATTAGCCGCGCGTGCTAAAAGCGCGAACTAGTCGCTCTGAATGAAGCCGCGGCGGCTGCACGAGCGCTCGTGCAGCAAGTGCTCTAGTCAAGGCAATTAAGGCTGGCCGCTCGCGCTAGCACAGCCTTTGCGGTTAGTCTATGCTAGGGTGAGACGAAGTATAGTGCCTAACAGAGTGAACAGTAGGGCATGTCTTTTGAACGTCCGACCTTCAGCACACGTTGCATACCTTTCGCTGTGCTTTGGATGCGTGCGCGAGCTCGAGGTGCACGAGACGCTGTAGCGTTGTCGAAGCTTACGCAGGATAGGGTGCCTTCATGTGCGCTTTGCTCAGGGTGACGATATCTGGCCATTTTGTTCCGAACGCCTTTTTTATTTGTTGACGTGAAGCGCGTGAAAGAGCGTGTCCCTGCACGCGCTCGTGGTGCTTAAATACGCTAAGGTGACATTTTCTTCTCAGCGATTTATTTGTATATTTCCCTTGAGCGCGTACGGTCGGCATCGTATTGCCGATTTTGATCATGTGTTTTTGAACCTACTTTCACGGCATCGTGTTTTGACCGCAAAGCACTGTGAACATAAGATCCGCTCTGGAAGGCCGGACACCGACCCGCCGCCACGGCTTTTGTAGCCGCTTGGTGCCGTCGATTTCGCTGGAGTCGCCAAAACTACAAAGGGTGCATGGCATCACCCAGAAGGGCCTTGAGGCGCCCAATTAAGCGCTGGAAACAAGACAACTGAAGCTTTTTTTTTTGTCGTTCTCACCTTGCGAGTTGAGAGATAGGTGCTATCAAGTGGTCTTGAATTATTTCATGACCACTGCATCTTATGAAGTCCCAGAAACACCGGATTCGATTAATCAGGAACGACGAACGCTATCATAACTTACGGTCATTGCGTAAGTTGTATCTGAATGCTCTATCTTTTGAAAATTAAGTTTAAGAACAAGTTCTGAAGTTCAACGTCTTCTCTTAACTTTTCACGTCTGGTTCCCCCCTCCCCCTACTCGCCAACGGAAACGGAAAAAGAAAACAAGAAACCCTCTGGTGTTTTTTTGTAAGAAGAGCAACAACAAAATTGATAAGGTAATTCTATGTTCGAAAACCTCCGTTGGCTAACAATATATGTATACTGTAAAACCCCTTATTTTCGCGGCCCCTATTTTTCGCGAATCGGTCACAGATGACATAATCGCGACCACTAAATTTCGCGAATTCCAGACGCCTGCGTTGAAAATCTTAAGGACCAAAATTTTCGCGCGCCCTTAAATTTCGCAAATTCTTCAATTCGTGAAATTCGCGAAAATGAGGGCTCGCGAACATTAAGGGTTTTATAGTATATATATATTTAATTAACCCATCCTGACTGCTAAGAACAATATAAGGTTTCTTTGTTTTTTTGTTTTTTTGTTGTTTTTTGTGGCGTTTCCTTTAAATATAAAGTTAATTTAATAATACAATCTGGAGTCATTATGCGACCTGAGACTATACACCGGAGAACATATGTTGTCAACGAATTCTGGGTTATGTATTCATTTTTATTTCTTCGCTCTTGTGCAATCCCGAATACGTTACTGCCATTTAGTGTGGTCAACGACAACCCAAACAAATCTAGACAATATTGTATCTATACAAAAGCGAGCATTGCGAGCAATTGGTAACATACAACTTCTTAAAAGTGCCACACTATTTTAGGACATATCAAATACTCAACGTAAGAAATCTACATCAATATAAACTATCACTTGACATTTGGCGGCAATTTCAGCTCGATAAATTGGGTTTCCATGCTAAGTACCACGCGAAAGATAGCCCGTATAACTTAAGGCGCCATTTATTAATAAAATCGCGTTCGCGAACGAATTATGGAGACCAGAGGTTGAGTTTTCTTATACCAGATCATTTAAACCAGTACCAGTATATTTTAGCTTCATTGGAGTGCGTGCGATCACTCTATCAATATAAAAATATTGTAAAAGAACATTTACTCACAGGGGAATAAAACCGGATGTGTTTTAAGCAAAATGCTATAATGATCACTGACAATTGTCCTTTCATGTCATGTTTTGTGATGTATTTGTTTTGTTTTGTATAGATCTTTAGTTTGGAGTGAAATTGTATCATTCCTCATTTGTTTGTTTTTGCTACCGTTGCTGCCAAAAGGATGGCATGGCCCTGTCAGGCATTTATGCCTTTAGCCGTGTCCCCTGAGACATCTCTGTACCGTTATGTCTCAAATAAAAGGTATCAACAACAACAACAACATCTAAGGATCTGGACGAATTGCAAAAAAGCACCCCAGAAACAAATGACAAGACACAACGTAAAACTAAACATCGCGATTTTTGTTTCGGTATTATACGTGTTTCAGATGGCACTCAGGGTGAATTAAATTGGATAACTTCGTCTATGGGCTCTAAGCATCGTAAAAAAAAAACGAAATTACATTCATGGCTGGTTCCTTTCTTTTTAAGGAATCTACTCACAGACCTGACACGCAACTCACTCTGTGCTTTAGAGCAACTGCAGGGGCGGCGTAGGACGGCGTTTTCAAAACGAAAATTCCTGCATTACGTTTACACCCAAACATTCGACGTTTTTGCAAACTATGACGCACAACACGCTTAAAAGAGTAAACATATTCCAAGGATACCACCCTCCCACTCTCTACATATGGAAAAAAAAGGAATGTGCATTTATATTGCTGTCAGTGTACTGAAAGGTCTTGCCCCATTGAACCTGGCTTTTTTTTTAACAAAAGCACATTAAACATTATAACATCAAATACAAGCGTTTACAAAAAGCACTTCTCTGCCTCTTTAAGAACAGGCAACTGTGTTGTTTTGGTTTGTTTTCTCGTGTACCATTTTGATGTTTTTTTTATTCTTATTTTGGAACAGGAAGGTAATACAGTAACTATTTCCATTTCTCTAATGTAGCACCAAAACGTTCGTCTAGAGCACTTCCAAAATTTGAGATTCTTTCAAGGGAACTAACTGTGTTTGCTTTTAGGACTTCGAAGATAAAGGAAATTTTCTGGCAATTCAACAATTTGAAAATAATTGGAAGAAAGACTACTTACGGATTCTTTTTTACACATTTTTTAGGATAAGTGTAAGCAAAGCAGTCGATCCGGAGTACATTGAAAAAGAGTTTTCCGACAGCCACAGAGGAGGGGCTGCTGTCATTCAATAGGCAATTGTAGAACTGGCGGTCATCTTTGCAGTTGGTCCTGATAGACAAAAAACAAGGAGCCACATAAAACAATGTTTATGTCTATGCAGTATCTCGTTGGGATGGATGCCTTAGTATATAAATACACTCGACAAGAGAGGAGATATGTTCTGGCTGAGCTCATGATAACTGCAAGACGCTGTAGCTTCCTATACTCATGCTGCTCATTAAAAATCCTCTAATTACTGTTACCAATTAAACAGCTGGATATGTAACCGTATTTCAATGACGCGCTCTTGAAGGTTAAACGTCGTGATCAACAAATACAGAAGCAAGAATTTGCGACAGAAAATTCGAAGCAAGACTGCATCAACAGCTGGTTAACAAAAATAATATAAGTATAAAAACAAGAGGCCCTTCTCGGGCATCGTTTCCTTACATCGTGTACAGGTTTCTATTGGTGATGCCGTGCTTAATTTGTAGTGCCGGGATGTTGTCGTCGGAGTTGTCGTGTGCGCGGCAGCACATGTCAGTCCCCTTGTGCACTCCTAGATCGTCGTAGTTATTAGCCACATCACCCGCTCCGCACCACTTGGTCCCTGAAATCGACGATGCAAGCGATCTTTTATAAATGTTTTTTTACGCGAGCGTCGCCATCTTGAATTGCAAAACTTCGGAAATGGAGGAAAACATATATTTGTTTTCTTTGCGAAACTGGGAATCGCACAGCTTTTAATTTAAAAAGAAATAATGATGATGGTGATTTAATTCACGGTCGCTCATCTTTTTTGTTCCCTTTTTTATATTTTTGCCACTCGTTTGAGGTTGTAAGGCCCTCTACTTCGATATGTCAACGGACGACGGCAAACGAAGAAGGTGTATTCGTTCTCGTAATTATTCTGACTCAGGATATATTTTATTCCTTCCTGTCTCGAAGTGTGAGTGTGGAAGCGGGGTGACGATACTGTTTGAAAAATATTCATAAAAGAAGAGAGCGGTATGAAGGAAGGTAAAATTTGCTTCCCTATGAGCTGTATACCTTCATTCAGGGAAGGGGCGCCTAAAACCGCGGTCACAGTGTGATTACATCCTGTAAACTGCAGTCTGCAGACACTTTGTGGGGTGTGCTTCTTCCTTTATCAGGTGATCGTGACATACTGGTCGAACAAAAACGGTCTTTACAAATGTTCGAAGCGTAAAATGTATTCTGTATGGCGTATGTGTAGTGACTGCGGCTTAAAAGCTGCAATAAAACAAAAGATGACCGGAATGTCTTCAGCCGGATTTAGACGGATTTCGATAAAAGTTCCTCGCCTGCGTGAAGTCGCCAGAACGGTACTTTACAAGAAGTAAGCGCCGGTGACCGAGATAGCTCGTCCCGTTCCATGGTACAGTTCCCACACTGCATGGCAACAGCTGTGGCGTAGGCGCACTAGCTCGTGAAATCGCTCAATTAAAAACGAGATTCGCTCGTGACACTAGCACTTCAAAGGTACCGTAAAATCTTTCTGCATAGAGTGTAGACAGTTTTCGCTCTCCGGCTCCACTCTACAGAGATCGGAGTCTTCAATGCGCGTGTGCAGTCCGCTCTGGGTTTGAGCGTAGTTATGGGAGTGAGCGTTAGCTCCTCTTTGTTGCGCGTGAAGCGAGTTTTAGTACAGATAGCGTTTTCATGGAAGGGTATTTGAAACGGGAGTTCACGCTGCCTCTTTGAAACCAGATTTGAAACGCGCGTCCGGTCAGATCGGGTCTTCAAAAACGAGCAACATCGCTCCACCAAGATGGCTGCGCACACTTCGCTCGGAACAATGATCTTCTCTTCCTGAAAGCTCTGGTTGCTGCCGTAGGACCTCCGCCTGCTTCGGTATATTTTGTGGCGAAATTCCTTGTTGTCACCAAAATGGTGGGCAGATGTTAGGAAGTGCCTTTTAGCAGCCAGTTGGCGCAAATCTACTCTGCTCCATTCACTCTTAAATGAAAACTGAAGCGGTTCTGTATTGAAGTGAACATACTTAAATCGACTTTATTTAACCTCCAGGACCAGAAATCTCAAGAATTTTTTTATTATTTTTTTTCAATGTGGTACACGCAGGCTGCGGGAAATATTTTCCGAAGTACCGCTGAAGCATCTCCTTTCCGGAGCGTTACGTCAAAAAGGGTATTATCGGAATCTCCGATCTCCTATCGAAGCTATGCACGCGCGCTCTGGCTATTTTCAGAAAAGTCAGAAAAAGACGTCACGACTGCTGTCCGTACGGGGTAATGTATTTGAGACGCTTGCACTTGCAGGCTCTGCCCTCTGGAGCAACATGGGTATGGCGGCGGAAAGTTTCTTTTATAACGGAAGGACTGTCGGGGTTTTTTCGTGTTTTCCGGAGTTAAGAACACTCTTTAGGAGAGAACACAGGGTCGAGGAACAATGAGACGCGATACACTAGGTAAAGTCCTCTCACTATCGTAGAAGCGCGCTCAACAACCCACGGCGAAGTAGTGTCGCTCGCTAGCAAAATAACGCAAGAAATGACGAGATAAAAGGCTCTAGAATTCCCCTCGAACTCGCTTTTTTAAAGAACCACTTCAGCGTCCCTTGAACCCAAGACTGCAGCCAATGTCACAAGCGCGAGAGTTCAAGGTCGATGCTGTGAAGTGTTTTTCCACGGAAGCGCTTTGAAGAGCTCTTCCACACGTCTCAAAGCCAAGAGCCTGGGCTAGCTCCCGATTGTAGCTTTGGCTGCTTAAAGGGGCGATGCAACAATTTTTCTACATTCAACAAATACCGATTACAATAATTCCTTGACATTTATGACCTTTAAAACACATGCTGCATTTTTCACTGGGCGATGGCAATCACACAAAAAAGAAAATTCGAAGAAACAAACGCCGGGTTTTCTCCCTCAACTCGCAGCCAGAAAATGCGGCCACGTAATCTGCAGCCGATTATGTGCCGACAGAGGTTTTAACAAAGACATGCGTTGGGATTGGCAGAGCACAGGGCGCGCGCTAAGCTCCAGGCATTGTTGAGGTTCGGAAGAAGCGGACATAACTCAAGCCCCGACCAGGGCGCCCCTAGCGGCAAACAGAAAATTTTCATCGGTAGGTCATTTTTAGACCTAGCACTGAGATTACCTTCGCTCAAGATTTGCACCACGAAAAAAGCTTGAGAAATTTGTAAGAGCTTGAAGTCCCGTCGTAATACTGACGGTCACTCTAGGACCGCGCAATTCATCGCAATTGCTTCCCTACGAGTAGGCGGCGACAACCGCTAGGTGGCAGCGAATAATTAGAGAACCAGAATTACAGAGATATTCCAAGTGCTCGATCGGGGCCACGTGGTTTATGGGCCGAGTTTGCAATGCGAGCTACAGGTGAAGAACGCATTGGTCGTCCTCGAGTCTCCGTCTTTCCGTCTGCTTGCCTCCTAGCCACGTTATAACGCAGCGCATGCGCACTTGCGACCAATCTCCGACGGAGGGGTCAGCCATTAGACAGCAAACGCTCCCCATGGTTTGAGTTGGACCCTCTTTACAATCTAGGCTCTCCACAAACAATAGGCGACGGAGACGACGACGCCGGCGTGTTCTTTTCCCACGTCCATCCTCCCATCCATTGGGCACGAGCCACCTCCCCGATGCGTGTCGGCGCATCGATTGTCACGAGTTAATCAATCAAGAGTCTGAAAGAAAGGTTCACTTTTATCCTTAAAATTCCACAGCGACGAAGACGCTTCTTGGTAAGTGGCGTGTCGTTCGAGTATTCTCCGGTCCCACTACTGCCAGTAATCGGATGTAAATTGAAAAACGTTTCTACTCAATATCGCTTCACAGCCCCTTTGAGGGTGAACAGATTAAGGCCTGTTCACACATGCAGCGGAGCGCTACAAGCATAGCGATGACTTCGCGCTAAGCTCGTGCTGACGGGTGCGTTCACCAGCTTTGTATCGCACCGTCAAAACTGTTGCTCATGGCAGACGATAAGAAGCTGACGGCACGTGAGGAGCGCTACATCAGCGCTTCGCTGCATGTGAGAACCGGCCTTTATAGACGCTTTACACACGCGCCAAATTACAGCCGCCATTGCTGACCTTCTCTTGTCTTACCGAGATGCCGAGCAACTGAAACGGTAGTCGACGATCCTCTACAAAGGCCGATGCTTAGAAAAGGGCACAGTTGAACCTAATGTGGCAATAACCTGGCCTGCTATGGTAGAGATGAAGTGAAATAAACGGAATAAGAGGAAACAAAAACTGAAGGTCAGTTATGGCGGCGTCCATGCGCAGCTGCTGCAAAGCGTCTATAGGCCAGAAGTCAGGCGAATGGGCAGATCTTTGCACTATCCCACCGCTTATACATCATACAAAAGACTGCAAGCAAATTCGAGCTCAAGTCACCACGAGATCCGTGCCTCTTACATCGCGTGGCACCCGTTGCCACGCGATATAAGAGGCACGGATCTCGTGGTGACTTGAGCTCGAATTTGCTTGCAGTCTTTCAGGAGAAACTTGGCACGCGGCATTCAATCCACGGATGTCGCGGTGACTAATGTCAGGCAGACTATCTTTTGTCTGTTGTCTACGCAGTGTGACCTCATGTTTAGGTCAGTTCAGACAGAATGGTTGCTAAACTTGACAAACATAAAGATTCTTTCTGTTATGATATAGTGGTGGAAAGAGCCAAAAGATTGCCGCGGTTCCCTTTTCTCACACACCCACAGATTCGTTCGTCTTCGTGAAGTTTTTTTATTCAAAGTCAAATTGGACGTTTGAGTGATTTATACAGCGTAAGGTTGGTCTGCCAGTAGGGGCGACACTGGTTTACACTGTAGATGAGCAATTTAGCCAGTGCGGTACAACCGCTAGCCTGGGGTCTTTAACGTGCACCACGCAGTAGTGATACACGACCGCACGCCGGTACGATGCCCATCCAGATCGAAACGGGCAGGGGTGGGGCTCGAACCCAGGATCCCTGGGTTCTGCAGCGCGAAAGTTTTTTTTATTGAAGGTGCAAAAAGTATGTAAAGCTCCTTAGGCGCCGAACAAGAACAGCACGAGAGAGCGCGCGGGGACGCCCGTGGTTTATACGTCTGACGTCACGACGGAGATTAACAGCTCTTGCTGTGTGTGTGTTTTTTTTTTTACTTGCCCTCGATTTTTTATGCGCTCTTAATCGTCACAATGTACCTACAACGAGCCCAAGTGAATACCCTTATGGGTCGGTGTAGTCGGCTTGCCAAGATTAGCCAACTGGGATTAATTCTACTTTCATCGGCGGAAATACGTCTAAAGACAGGTTGTCAATATTGAAGGTGATGATTTAAGAACGCGATGACTCCAAGATTTCATTGTACATAATCGAACTTCTAACCGTCGATTCGAAAAACCGAACCATCGAATTTGTCACTCAGAGCTGATAATCCTGACCCTGAAGTCAAGTGTAGGAACCCTAAGTGGACGTCACTGAGCGAGCCTGCACACTGCTAGCCCTAGGATGAGCCGCTCGCTTGAAAATCTGTCATGATTGCTTGTGAAGTTCATGGGACCCGAATTCGAAAATTGCACGAGGGGCTGTTGCTCATGATCGTTCAGTTGGGAAGCCAGAAAGGG